CTTCGTCCTCTGACCCTATCCCCTCTCATGTGTTCTCTCTCTCTCATTCTCTCTCTCAAATAAATAAAATCTTTATAAAAAAAAAATGAACACAGAGCTTTTATTCAAATATGCGATAAGTCTTCCACTTACAACAACATGGAAATTAAATGTGAAGAATGACATTAATTCAATATCATGGCTGGTTTTACTCACAGAAAAGTCACAGAACTTAAAGTTACGGTTCCCACAGCCACCGTAACTGTCACATGACATATATACACACCAACGAAGGAAAGCGTTCACCGTAAAGAAGAGCAGAAATGCTACGTAGGCACCAAGGACCACGTTACGGCTGCTGGGGGACACATAACCTTGAATATTCCCTTCCATTCTGCATACAGCCTAAGGTATTATCCACTGAGTAGAAGTTACATGATTTCACTTCTTTGTAAACATAGTAACCACATCAATGAGTTTCTCTTTGAAAAGAGCACAATTATGATTTTCCTCATAGGAATCCCTGGTATCCCACAATCCCTAGAATATATTTTTGATGTTCTCAACAAGCATAATCAAGCACTCTTGTTTTTTATTTTACTTTTGAAAAGTTGGCGTACAAAAAGTTGACTTTTGGCATATGTGTACAGAACTACAATTTTTAACACATGTATAGATTTGTGGGACCACCACAACAATCAAGAAAGAACAGTTCTGTCCCCCGATAACACTCGTTCATGCTATCCCACTGGGGTTAAACCATCCCCAGCCCACAGCAACCAGTTACCTGTCTTCCTCATGTATTTTCACCTTTTCCAGAATATCCTACACATGGACTCATTCTGTATGCAAACCTGACATCTGACATCTTTCACTCAGCACAATGCCTTTGAAACCCATCCAAGTGGTCCTCTGTATAAATCGTTCAAACCTTTTTCATTGCTGAATTGTATTCCATTATAGACATATGCCATAGTTTATGCAGTAAGTGTTGGCTTCAAAAATTTCAACCAAATGATTTCCAAGGACCCAGGGAAAGATAAATAAGTTTGAATACCATGAATGCTAAAAAGTTTAATATGACAGGGGCGCCTGGGTGGCTCAGTCAGTTAAGTGTCTGACTCTTGATTTCGGCTCCAGTCATGATCTCAGGGTTGTGAGACTGAGCCTCTCATCAGGCTCTGCACTGGCCATGGAGCCTGTTTAAGATTCTCTCTCTTCTCTCCCTCTGCTCCTCCCCACCCCACCATTTGTGCATACGCTCTCTCTCTCTCAAAAAAAAAAAAAAATTCTAAAAAAAAAAAAAAAAAAAAGTTTAATATGACAAAACAGTCTAATTACTTAGAAACATTAAAAAATACAGCACCAACATCTTGGCATGAAACTTAGTATAATATTAGGTATCTCTCACACAACTCTCACTGCTGCTTTTTGGATGAGTAGTTTGTGCTTTTGGTTTGGTTTTGTTTTTAATGACAAGAGTTTGCATTGTTCTTTCCATTCTACCTAAATAGAAATTGGTGGGAAGGTAATATATTTTGCATTCTTCTAGAGTCCTCTATCGGCAAGAATGCAAATTTATTAAAATTCAGCAGGATATGAGGTGATATTAGCATGGATGGGGCAATTATATAAAAAAGAAAATCTCCCCTACTCACCAAGGATCTTAAGAGCAAAACACTGATGAGAGTAAACATTTTCCTTTTGCGTATGCTAAGTGTGATCTTGTACAAATACCACCTCCCATGTGGCTCATCTGAAGGCTCTCACCATGAAGTACACACAGGAAGGCAAATTATCAGCCATGTAAACAATCACTGGGTATTTAAACTTCAGCACAAGGAGACATAAACCCACATCCAGAAAAGCTAAATGAGTAAAACGCTGGCTGAGAAGAGCACTTCTACAGTCTCGGAAAAATACTCAAGAGTATGTCAGTACAGCAAACAATACATGTGATACATATGTACTGAATGACTGTACCGCATCTAGGTTCCTGAGAATCAGAACACTCTGGATGACAGCATTCATAAACACAAAAATCTACAAGACAAAGGAAGTAGCAAAATGAGCAAAGGAGATGGGATGGCTAGACAGACCCCAAAGCAGAGCCTGGATACAGTGACAGAATCCAAACAACCCATATGGCAACAAGAGGCAAAATTAAAGATGTCTGTTCAGAAAAATTCAGGTCTACCAAATGGCTGAGTCTATGCATATTAAATTTGCACACAACTTTTCTAGAGGCTATTGATCATACAATCAAGGGCTACCTATTTAGTTCCCCCCCCAGTACTCCCCCCAAGATTATTCTCTGTAAGTGATTACCCCGGAATAGTGATATGCAAAACAGAAGTCATGCGTGCGTGTGTGTGTGTGCATGCATGTACATATGTACATATATACCCTATTCAATCACGTGTTGGTATAAAGCAGTGGTCAGCAAAGTCCAACCCACCACCTGTTTTTTTAGATAAGGTTTACACTTTGAAACACAACCCTACCTATTCATTTACATATTGTCTATGGCTGATCTCACAATACGGTATCAGGGCTGAGAAGTTGCAACAGAGGCCTGTGGGCCACAAAGCTAGACGTTATTTATTACCTGGCCCTTCGTGGAAAAAGTATAATCAACCTTTCTTTTCATGCTCAGTAATATTTGTCCACTGACCTTCCACACATTGTTTTCATGCTTGTTACCAGTAGGTAGTTTAAAAGAAAAACGGTCCCCTTTACATTTGCTTAGTACTTTATAATTTACAAATACACACATGCTCCTATTAAGGGGCTCAGCACTGTCATCCATATCACCAATTTACAGATAAGGAAGCCAAAGTGAAGAGGATAATTGGTTGCTGAAGAGAAACTAAAAAGTTAGGCCTTTACTTGGGTGTCCTGGGTCCTCCACTCTTTTCACTGTGCCCAACTGTGCTCAGATCCAGGAGAATCCAAAATGAAAACACCCAGCTCTGTGCAGGGGTAGACAAGACTCAGGAATCAGAAAGACCTGATTTCGAATCCTACTTGTTCTACTTCCTAGCTGTGTGTCCTTGCAAAAATTTACTTAAAATTCAAGACATGGGAACATTTCCAAAAGGGCCAAAAAGACACTTAGCTTACAGATTGTTAGGAGAAAAATTCATTCATTCAAAGGATATCTCTGGGCCAGACATTGTACTAGGCTACTTATATGCAGATGAAGCAAAACAGATGTGGTCCCATGAGATAGGACTCATATATTACATATAGCAGAGTTCCCTATATATAACCTCTCAGAAAGTGGTCCTGGTGTTGCTTTTCTATTAGTATTGCTGTATTACTAGTATGATTATTATTAAGGCAGGCGATGTGTTTAGGAAGAATGGAGGAAAAAACTCAATGAAGGTGGTCAATCACCCAAGTCCCTCCCTTTGTTCCAACCATCTCTTCCCCTCTGACACTTTTATCATGACAGAGATAGAGGGCTGGCTAATGAAGTCTCAGGATTGCACGACCTCACCTCCCACACATGGCTCATCGGCCTATGCATGCTTCCTCCAAGGCTCTCCTCCAAAGCAAAGCTTCCACTTACTGCTACTCACAGTGTCTACATTAGGTTTTACAAGCACCACCAAATACCACTGACCCCTGCCTGTGAGCAACACCAGTATTGAGCCCACGGGGCTCCTTCGTATCCCACTCTTTGGTACCCCATGTAGTCCTCATGGTCTCACAGGATCGCCCGATAGAACAGGAAAGCCCACATGACTCAGCCTCCGACGTAACTCTCCCATCCCCGACCACTGCCCCCTCACACCACCGCCCTGCTATTCCTGAAGCACACCAGGCACTCTCCTGCCTCCCCGGAGCGTGTACGCTTACTGTTCTCTCCTCTAGAGATGCTCTTTCTCCAGACACCACACATCTGACCTTCCTCGCCTCCTCGAGGTCTCTGGGTAAATGTGACCAACCCAGAAGAAGTCTTTCCAGACCACTCTGTTCAAAAATATACCCCCACCCCAAGCACTCCCAATCACCTTCTTTGCTTTGGTTTTCCTCCATTACACCTAGCCCTCTCTGAACATATCTGTAGCCGGCCCCTGTTGGGATCAGGATGAGATCTCCATGAGGAAGTGGATTTTTGTCTGTTTTGTTGACTGCTATGTTCCTGGTGCCTAGAGCAGCATCCACACATAGTAGGCCCTCAACAGAGGAGAAAGGAAGGAGGGAAGAAGGAAAAAGAGGCCAACCCCATGAAAGACCTGGAATGTGGCTGGCATGCCTGGCTCACGGACTCCGTGATGGTGAGTAACAATTTTGGAGATAAATCACGAACAGTAAAGAACACATAACTGAAGGGTAGAGAAACTAATGTACCTGCTGAGTTGTGCCACCTCTAGGCTATTTCCTCTGTACTGGTTTGTCACTGTGTTTCTCTGTGGTCACTAAACTGAAGCTCTGCGGTTGCCTAGTAGTGTTTCTGGAAACATCCCGATAAGGTACTTCCCTAAACCACTCAACTCATCTGCATAAGATAGCACCAAAGCTGGTTATTTAAAACCCCAACTGCCAAATGAAATGTCAGGAAATCCCCAGTGGGGGATTACATGGATGATGAGGTGGTGGGGGGCAATAATCCCTCCATTCAGGATTATTAGGTGCTGAGCATGATAATAAGGCCATTCAACCACTATAATTATCCTCGCCTTTAAAAGAGCACACAGTGGACACACGGAAATAACTATCTTCCTTTGAGGGGAGTCGGGGTGGCTCAGTCAGTTGAGGGCTCAGCTCTTGATTTCAGCTCAGGTCGTGATCTCAAGATGGTGGGATCGAGCCCTGCATCAGGGTTCTGTACTCAGCAGGGAGTCTCCTGGAGATTCTCTCTCTCTCTCGACCCCTCCCCTTGCTTGATTATGCTCTCTCTCTCTCTCAAATAAATAAATCTTAAAAAAAAAAAAATCTTCCTTTGATTACCAACTTTTTTAGATCACCAGCTCTGAGTTGTCACATTTCCAAACTCCTGATGTACACAGAGTTTTGTGCACAGGCTTTGGATACAGACAGTCCTAGATTTAGATCCTGGCTCTTAACATTTATTAGCTTGATGACCTTAGGTAAGCCATTAAAACTTCTGGGCCCTGATTTTGTTCTGGAAAATGTAATGATTAAAAACAACTATAATAACTCTAATAAATACAACCATAATCATAGCAGGGAGTCCATGTTAGGTGCTTATGCCTGCCACATATTTCTGGGCCTGACTGAAAGTGGTAATTACATAGTTAATCAAATAATGTGTCAATCAAAAAAAAGGGCGAAGTCATGCAAGAAAGCCTGGGTGAATGTCTGGACTTGCCCTTGAGCCCTTTGAAAGGAAGAGAGAGCCCATCCCACAGGACTTTAAGAATCTTGGCTTCATGGCCTAGGCAGGTTAGCATGTGGGTATGGACATCGTCGGCCCAAGCAAACAATGTGTATGTCAAGTTCTCACTTGGAGTTCAATCTCTATTGTGAGATGGATGGCATACCAGATACCATTCAGTGTAGAACTTATCCATTAGCCTTGTGTTCACAAAACAACCTCCTGATTCTATGTGATTTCTCATGTAGGCCAACTTCAGGGAGTCAATACACCCAACGAATTCTCCAAAGTATTTCCAGGCCCTGATATAATTATTGCTCGCTCCTAATAAGCTGATGCTGATTATGATTCAACTTCCCAAATAACTTGACAATAATGACACAGTGAGCTGTTTATGCCAAAATAAATATTAGAGTCTATACAGTATTTCATTTTCATTGCAAGTTGAGTCACAGTTTGTCATTTATAGCTTAGTAATCATGGGTATTGGTTATCATGAGTTGGTCCTCTGAGCCAGATGGTCACTGGACAGTTAATAAGGTCTTGGAGGCTGGTGATCTTCTTAGGGTCATACTCAGTGACACCTTTGCCGACTACCCATTTGCCTTCCCTTCTCTACCCCCTCTACCTGTTCCAAACCTTTTCTCCCTCTACAGATTTCTACAGAAAGCTAAGTAAGGTTAGGATTCAATGACAGCAAAAGTGGGACGTTCGGTAAACAAAAGGAGGGTGATGATATTGATTGTATAGTCGGGAAAACCCGGACAGAGAAGGAGAATTTCAACTGGGCCTTGAAGGATGAGAGGATTTCCGTAAGAGAAGAAGGGAGAAGACAGATGTGAGGCAGATCGATGAAGATTACAGAGACCATGAGAAGCAAGGAAAGGGGAACAGTCTAACATGATTCACAGGTGTTTCACTGAGGCCACCAGGTGAATAACGGTGATGTTGCTGAAAAACAAGTCTATCTGTGAGGGCACTTAGGAGAGACAAAATTCTGTCAAAACAAGTTGAGATCAGGTTTCTGTGGACTATCCAGTATGGTATGAATCCGGGGCCCAAGAGAAAGTCTCGAGAATCCTATTCTCACAAACATATCCTTTATTCTAAACCTACTTTCTTCTGTTTTGGTTTTAGGGTTGGTTGAAGCACCTGCATTGAGACCATTCCAGGTTCCATGTGGCCTCTATGTTCTCACATCCCTTGTTCCTCTTCCCTCTTAATTTTCTTCCTTGCTTTCTCATTCCTTTTCCCCATTACTGTAAGCCCGCACCTCACTTCATTGCTGACCCTGGCAGGACTGGAAAAAAACTGGAAGACATTCAGACAACTCCATTATTTGAGGTCTTATCCTACTGCTGCAGGCTCAGCCTTGAAGTTGCCCTTGGACATAAAACATGTGAGGCAAACATCAGTGGGTAATCTGACCACAGATGTCCCTTTCTTTACCCCTCCCCACTCTGAAAATCTACAAACAAAATCAGCTACACCAAAGATACTCAGCAAATATCTGATTGTCCTTGTGGTACACCAGGCTTGTCACATGCCAACCCTTTCTTCCCTCATTGCTTCTCCCATCCCATGAAAGTGATAATAGCCTGTCCACTATTCATTAGGAAAGGAAAAAAGATGACCCATTTCCCAGATACAGATTCACCTACCCTAAAACTCACATGACATGGATTCACCAGGACTCCCATCTTCATTGAAAAAAAGGCAGAGAGGAACACATTCAGATTTAAAGCTAGTATCGGACTTGGGCTGAAAAGTCTATACCTGTCTTAATCTCCCTGTTTTCAGTTAATATCATACAGAAAGAAATTTCATTTACAGTATGTTTCTTTCCAAAAAAAAACCCAAACAAATAAACAAAAAAGTCTGATTTTAATGAAATCATAAACTGAAGAGAACTCACAATAAAGACACTATACTAACAAAACTATACTAACCTGAATGCACACATTACTATCATTGATTTCCTCATACACAAATAGTGATTGAGTACATGCTATGTGTCAGGCATACGGCAAGGCCCTAAGAAAACAAAGACAAATTAGATGTGACTCCCCTAGACCTACCCATAGACCAACTTATAAAGCCTAGTGGGGAAGATAAGCAAGGGAGTGGCTAACTTCTATGCCATGTAATAAACTCTAGATCCTCAGGTAGTGGGAGAAGCCTACCCAATATGGTGGAAGGGAGCTTAAAAGGCGGATAGGTACAGCAATGGATTTGACCACATGTGATCCTATAGGTCTGACTAGTAGCAGCCCAGTCCCTCCAACCTCTGGAAACAGGCAACCAAGCAGATACATGGCACTCAAGTGGCCATGGGAGGATCAGTCTGTTTCTACCTTGTACATCCTAGGATATGAAAAGAGAAGCAAACGGGCACCTGGGTGGCTCAGTTGGTTAAGCGACTGCCTTCGGCTCAGGTCATGATCCTGGAGTCCCTGGATCGAGTTCCGTATAGGGCTCCCTGCTCGGCGGGGAGTCTGCTTCTCCCTCTGACCCTCCCCCCTCCCCTCTCATGTGCTCTCTCTCTCTCATTCTCTCTCTGTCAAATAATAAATAAAATCTTTAAAAATAAATAAATAAATAAATAAATAAATAAAAAGAGAAGCAAAGGATTCGTATTTGAGAAGGAAGTTTAGGGACACCCAGCTGGCTCAGTTGATGAATCACGCAATTCTTAATCTCAGGGTAGTGAGTTTGAGCCCCAGTTCAGTGCAGAGATTACTTAAAAATAAAATCTTAAAAAAAGAAGTTTTCTTTTAAATGGGTGAGTTAAAAAGGAAAATTATTTGTATTTATATATATAAATATATTTATATATACAATATATGACACCCCAATACATGGCAGGTTTTGGTTCTGAAAGTAAAACCAAAAATCCCAGATGAATATCCAGGTTTTTATGCAATTATAACAGTAACCTGGAATCCCCTCAAAAAATTTAACTTCTTCCTCAAAACTACAACCTACTTTAGTGTCACGAATTTAAAAAAAAAAAAAAAACTGATTAAACCAATCACCACGATTTAGTAATCTGGGGGCTGACTTTATATTAAATTCATTCTAGAAATGCAAGATTTGTCTCATAATTGTATTTGACTCTTTTATCTTGCCGAAATACTAAAGCTTTGTAAAATCAACGAATCCATAAGAATTTGCATCCTTCAGTTCCTTTTTGTTTTTTCAGAGAATGCAAGTGAGGCTGTCCACGGGCAAATGTGCACGTGTGCAAAAGCACACAGAAATGCACACACATACACGTGACATAGGAGCAAGTTCAAACTCTCCAACAGTCAAAGGGAGACACACATTCATATATTTCTTAGGAATATTCACATGCATTTTTGTCTACTGTAGGATTGAGCAGTGATGGAGACACACACACACACACACACACACACACTTAAAGCAAAATGTTCGAGGAAAAGTTATGCTTTTAATTTCTTTGCCAGGGAAATGGAAAAAGGAAAACTCATCCAATAGGGCTTTTAATGTCTTAAAGTATCCCAGAGAGGTTATTTGTAATAGTTTTAAAATGCACAGAGGTCAACCCTAAAACGAATGGGAACAGTGGGTGCAATCAATATTACCTGAATTTAAATTCTTATAAATGACATTCTCTCCGTCCAAGCTAACCACAAAAAATAACTCCTAACCAAATTTTCCAAGGGCAATGAGTACACTTAGAAAGGAGAAAAACAGAAAAAGGAACAGGAAAGTGCCGAGCCCTGGTCTCACCTCTGGCTCTTCCAGTGTATCCTCTTCAACGGGAGTTTTCTGGAGCGGATCCAAGATGCCATTGCTGGAAGGCCTCCTGTCCTCGGTGGGAGAAGCATAGGCCTCCTCCGAGTCTGTTTCTACCACGTGGAGGTGTCCCGCTTCTTCCTGGCTCCAATCCAATTCGTCTTCAGACTGTTTCAAGGAGTTACTGCTGCTCTTGGGAAAGATCCCTGCTGTCGACAGGCTGCTGGGCACCGAGGTGTAGGATGACTGGGGCCCACAGTAAGGCCGCCCCTCCGGGGCCAAGGCCTCTGCCTCCAGGAGGTCAGGGACAGAGAGGCTGAGGCGGCGGTCCAGGGAACGCCTTGCTCGTAAGTCTAGGGGCTTGTTGGAGTTCTTTTTCCCCCTCTTCTTGCTCAGGTTGATTAACAAAGGCCTGGTCCGCTGTTTCAAAGAGCCCCAGACAGATGGTTTATCCATATCTATGACTGCATGAAGACCCAGCAAGTCACTCCATGAGAGAGCGCCTCTCTACAGGAAACAATTCTGTGGCTCCTAGAAAACACGATATAAGGAGAGAGAACATAAATGAGCCTTCTCGGCAGTATCCAAGTACATTAAAGTGTAAAATATGACTGGAAAGTCTCACACTTTCCACTAAGTGACCAAACATTTGATTGGTAATGTCTACAAATATTTTTTAAAAGCATTTTTAAGAAACTGAATTTTTCAGATTTTTATCAGAGTAGTTACAGAAAAATTCTAGTAATGAATGGAACTATGAGGTTGATGTGAAAAGAGTGTTTCATAAGAAGACTGCTTTCTCTGACTTGGTTCACTCAACATCACGTCCTCCCTCCTGGTTCAGCCATGTTGTTGCAAATGGCAGGATTTCCTCCTATTTATATGGCTAACTCATATTCCACTGTTTATATACCTCACATTTTTTAATCCATTCGTCCCTCAATAACCACTTAGATTGTTTCCTTATTTTGGCTACTGTGAATAATGCTGTAGTGAACAAGGGAGGGAGGAAATGCTGGTTTCATCTTGGGAGGATATATATACCCAGAACCATATGATACTTCTAGTTTTAGTTTTTTGAGGAACCTCCATATTGTTCTCCACATGTCTGTGTCAGTTTACCTTCCCACCAATAGTGCACAAGGCCTCTCTTTCTTCCACATCCTCACCAAAACTTGTGATCTCTTGTTGGGTTGTTTTTTTTTTATGTTGTTAGTCACCATACATTGCATCATTAGTTTCTGATGTAGTGTTCCATGATTCATTGTTTGCGTACAACACCCAGTGCTCAATAATAGCCATGTATAGTTGAAGTTTGCTCAGAGAGTAGATCTTCCACACATACACACAGATAGTAACTATGTGAGGTGATGGATATGTTAATTAACTTGATTGTGGTACTCATTTCATAATGCATATATAATTAAATCATCATGTTGTATACCCTAAATATACATACATACACACACACACACACACACACATAATTTCTACACATACAATATTTGTTTCCTGAATTAAACTTGGGGGAAAAAAGACTACTTTCTTATGTCCTATCCAGGGAACGCAGAGCCAAAAATTACTACCACAATAACAGCATCTTTAATCGGTATTATCAAATAACTGGTGCCTTTTAATGTCTGAACCAGGGTAGGCAAACAGTTTCTGTATAAGACCAGTTAGTAAATATTTTAAACTTTATAGGCCACATGGTGTGTCACAATTACCAATTCTGCTGTTTTGGTACCAAAGGAGGCATGGACAACACCTAAATCAGTGTGGCTGTGTTCCAATAAAATTTGATTTACAAAAGTGGAGCAGACTGTAGTTGGACAATCCCTGCTTTAAACTTACCATCTTGTTTTCCAGCATTAACAGGTGCATTTTGAAGGACAAACGCATACTCACGTAGACAAAAATTCCACCTGATATCTTAAAACTTTATAGTAAAATAAGGTTGACTAAAGAGAAAATCATTTATAGAAGTGAGAGATCTGTTCTTGTTCCAATGTACCAAGTCAGAAAAATTGACAAAACTGTAAGGGAAATCTCAAGAAATATAAGCTTCAGAGCCTTAACTTGAGAATGTATGATTAAAAGTGTTTCCCCACAAACAGTCCCCATGAATGACAGGAATGCTTCACAAATACATATGTAATTATACAGAGTGGTAAATGCTATGCAGGAAAGTGGGTAATTTGACATATTACAGATTGGACTCATTAAGGATCAAATCAAAGTCAAATCTGGATGCAAAAGAATTAAACTGACCACAAAATAAACTCAAAATGGATTAAAGACCTGAATGTGAGACCTGAAACCATAAAAACCCTAGAAGACAACACAGGCAGTAATCTTTTTGACATTGGACAGAGCAATATTTTTCTAGCTATGTCACCTGAGGCAAGGGAAATAAAAGCAAAAAGAAACTATTGGGACTATATCAAAATAAAAATCTTCTGCACAGTGAAGGAAACAATCAACAAAACTAAAAGGCAACCTGCTGAATGGGAGAAGATATTTGAAAATGACATATCTGATAAAGGGTTAGTATCCAAAATATATAAAGAATTTATATAACTCATCACCCAGAAAACAAATAATCCAATTAAAAATGGGCAAAAGACATGAACAGATATTTCTCCAAAGATACCCAGATGGCCAACAGACACATGAAAATTTGATGCTCAACATCACTCATCATCAGGGAAATGGAAATCAAAACTACAATGATATATCACCTCACACCTGTCAGAATGGCTAAAATCAAAACACAAGAAACAAGTATTGGCAAAGATGTGGAGAAAAAGGAACCCTCATGCACTACTGGTGGGAATGCAAATTGATGCAGCCACTGTGGAAAACAGCATGGAGGCTCCTAAAAAATTAAAAATAGATCTACCCTTTGATCCAGGAATTGCACTACTGGGTATTTACCCAAAGAATACAAAAACAGTAATTCAAAGGGATACATGCACCCCTATGTTTACTGCAGCATTATTTATAATAGCCAAACTATGGAAGTAGCCCAAATGCCCATCAGGAGATGAACGGCTAAGATACACACAAACACACAGCCATAAAGAAGGAAATCTTGCCATTTGGAACAATACGGGTAGAGCTAGAGAGTACAATGCTAAGTGAAATAATTTAGAAAAAGACAAATACCGTAAGATCTCATTTATATGTGTAATTTAAGAAACAAATGATCAAAGGAAAGAGAGAAAGAGAGAGAGAGAGAAACCAAGAGAACTGATGAGAGAAACCAAGAGAACAAACTGATGGTTACCAGAGGGGAGGTGTGTGGGTAGATGGGGGAAATAGGGAATAGGGATTAAAGAGTACACTTATCATAATGAAAACTAATAAAATTTTTTAAAAAGAAAATTATCTGAAGGTCTTAGGGGTTTAATCCAAAAAAAAAAAAATCAAATTTGGAGAAATAAACCATATTCTAGGTGTCAAGTAGCTCATAAGAGATCCTTCCAATATGAAAAAGAACAGTAGGGTCAGGTAATTCTGATATGGCCTGTACTTACATTCCATGTTTGGCTGAGGATAAAATAGGCCAAGAGCCACAAGAAAACACATTTTCTAAAATCAAGGACTCCAAGCATTTGTACCCAGCCCTATCTTACTCTAGGACAGGATATTTAGTCATTGGGAAGTCACTGCATTTTGAAGAGCAGCACTATGAAAGTCTACAGCTTTTGCTGGATCACTGGATGACCACCAGTCGAGGCAATAGCTTTTTCCAGGATGAAATGCGTATCTTCAGAAGGTAATGCAGAGATGAAGAGCTTGGGTTCCAGAGACTGATTTCATGATCTGGAATTTTGCTTTGCCACATTTTACTTAGATGTACTATTAGGGGCAAGTCATTGTAGTAAGCCTCAATTTCCTCACCAATTATTCAATGGAGATTATAATATCTAGTGTGCAAACCAAATGAGACAAGGTGTAAGGCACAGTGTCAAATGCAGAGAAAGTATTCAGTCAAGAAAAGCTATTTTTTATCATTACTGATACTGTTGTCATAATTTCCAATTTTGATATCTTAATTTATTCAAGAGCTCTGTATCTCATTATTATTTACATTTTACAGAACTGTACCATAACTACTTCATTGGCCTCTTGTGAGGACTGAATGAATTAGTCTATATAATGTGTTTAGAACAGTTCTTGGCACAGAGAAAATATTTAAGATAATGTTAGCTAGTTTTTAAATTGTTATTTCACTTATTTCACAGAGTTATTCCAGATTTGAAAATATTTACCACTTTTTCCTGCTTTGTAAAATCTAAACATAAACTTGTATTTCACATTAGCAAGACACAAATACATTATTTAATTCACATCTCATGGCTTAACTTGCAAATATGTTAAAAAGGATTGCTTCTATATTCATTTAGAAATATTTTAGTCAATTAGCATTTAATGGAGCGTTATATAAATGTTTATTAGATCTAGTTGGTTGATGGCTCAATTCTTCTATACTCTTGATTTTCTTTCTACTAGTATTACCTAGAGAGAAATGCTGGGTCTCTCAATTATAACTGTGAATTTGTATATTTCTCCTTTAGTTCTGTCAGGTTTTGCTTCTGTATTTTGAACTTTTGTTATTTGTATACATGTTTATAATTGTTATATCTTCTTGCTGTTTAAATCCAATCTGACAGACTTTTTTAGTTGGTTTGTTTAGACCATTTACATTTAACTTAATAATTGATGTTTGTATTATATGAAGGTTTCTCAATGTATTTGTTTCCACTGTTTTTTATTCTTCTGTTTCCGTTCCTTGTTTTTCCTTCCTTCCTTTGTTTTTAGTGTTCATTTTAATTCATCAATTGTGATTTTGTCTATATTTCTTTTTATAAAATTCCTATCAGACAAGGTTTTACTTTGACTTCAATCATGAACCATATTTTAAATAATTCAAGAAGAGAAGAACGGCCTATTATACTTACCATTTCCTCTGTTCTTAATATTCCAAATTTCTCATATCAGTTCCCATCAGTCTAAGAAATTTTCTTAACTAGTTATTTTATAGCAAGTCTGTTGACTACAAATTCTCTTGGTTTTACCTGATATGAGAAGATCTTCATTTCACATTCAAGGATATTATCATTGAATCCTGGACTCTGCACTTTTATTTCAGCACTTTAAAAATGGTAAGACATTTCCTCTGGCCTCCATGATTTCTGCTGAGAAATCTGTCATTTGAATCACTGTCTCCTATAGATAAGGTGTCACTTTTTCTCTGACTGCTTTCAAGATTTTGTCCTCAGTTTTAAACAGTTATGATATGCCTGGGTGTGTATCCTTTGGGTTTATCTTGTTTGGGGTAGCTTAGCTTCTTGAATCTGTAAGGTTATATCTTTTGTCAAACTTGGGAATTTTGCAGCCATTATTTCTTGGAATACACCTTAGCCACACTCTTTCTCTTTTCCTTCTGGGACTCCAATAATATAAACATTATATCTTTTGTTAATTGTCTAACAGTCCGAGGGTCTCTGTTCAATATTTTTCAATCATTCTCCTCTCCATTGTTCACACTGTATAATTTTTATTGATTTACTTTCAGGTTTATGGATTCTTTCCTCTGTTATCTCCATTTTGTTACTGACTTTATACAGTAAGGAATGTGGGGGTGGGTAAGAGGGGGCAAGGTTTAGAGACCATTGTACTTTCCAGTCCTAAAATTTCCATTTGGTTCTACTTCATATCTCCTATTTCTTTACAGATACATTTCAATTTACCTTTTATTTCAGAACTCATCATTATTCACTGGAGCATTTTTATAACAGCTGCTTTAAAGTTATATTTTCATTGTCATCCATTGTCTTTTCCCATGTGATTTGAGAATTTTATAGTTCTTTATATTCCAACATGGATTATATCCTAGACATTCTGAATATTCTTTTTTTTTTTTAAGATTTTATTTATTTATTTGAGAGAGAGAATGAGATAGAGAGAGAGAGCATGAGAGGGGGAAGGGTCAGAGGGAGAAGCAGACTCCCCGCCGAGCAGGGAGCCCGATGTGGGACTTGATCCCGGGATTCCAGGATCATGACCTGAGCCAAAGGCAGTCACTTAACCAACTGAGCCACCCAGGCGCCCCAACATTCTGAATATTTATAAAATCTTGTGCCTTATTTAAATCTATGAAGAATGTTGATATTATTGTTTTGCCAGGCATTTGATTTGATCACCTTCTCACCACAAATTCCAGCCCACATTCTGTGAGCCGATGTCAGTGTTGTTTTCAAAAGCTAGGAAGGGCCATTCAAATCTGCCCTGCGTGCACACCATGTAGAAGTTACTGAGACTTGCATGGAATTCTATTCATTAACTACATTCTCAAAGTAGATGGTATACTAATCATGATCAGACGGATGAATGTCCAGGTTGTAGTGAGTTCGGAAATTCACAAACTTTATGGAATCATTTCCTGAGCTCCTCCTCTCAGATGTCTCCCCTGATACTCTCTAGTACCCTGGAACGCCCCTTTTCAATCCTCTAATCAGAAACAACCCACTTCTGTGATGCCACCAGAGTAGGGGGAGGACTGAGATATATTAAAACAAGCAAAATAGGGCGCCTGGGTGGCTCAGTTGGTTAAGCGACTGCCTTCGGCTCAGGTCATGATCCTGGAGTCCCGGGATTGAGTCCCGCATCGGGCTCCCTGCTCAGCGGGGAGTCTGCTTCTCCCTCTGACCCTCCCCCCTCTCATGCTCTCTCTCTCTCATTGTCTCTCTCACAAATAAATAAAATCTTAAAAAAAAAATTTAAAACAAGCAAAATAAACAAACAAAAGGAAAAGGAAAAAAAGCAACGATTTAGCCCTGCCCTCAAAATTACAGCTTCACAAAATAGGAAGGACATCCCCCTCACTCATTGCT